GCGCGCGTTCGGCGGGGGCCCACCCCGGGCGCCATCTCTGGGGTCGGGGCTGCCCCGGGGACGTCGGAACGGCGCGGTGGCTCCGCCCGTCTTCCCAGCACTTTGCGAGGCGGAGGCCAGAGACCTGCCCGAGCCCACGGCTTCGAGACCAGCCCGGCAACCTGGCGAGACCTCGCCTCGACAATAGGTTAAAAAAAAAAAACGAGCCGGGCGTGGTGGCGCGCGCTTGTGGTTCCAGCGCCTTGGAAGGTTGAGGCGGAAGGATCGCCGGAGCCCCGCAGGTCGAGGCTGCCGTGGCCGTGAGCGTGCCACCACACTCCAGCCGGGGCGGCAGGAGTGAGACTCGCACTCGGAAAGGAAAAAAAGAAGACAAGAGAAAGAAGTGCCACCGCGGCCCAGGCGCCCGCAGCCTCCACGCCCGGGTCGGCTCTGGGTCTGGGTCTCCGTGTGCGCGTCATCTGCCTTCGGGCGTGTTTGTCGGAGCTGCGATGGGGCCTGTGTAGAAGGGAACAGGCTCTTGTGTCGGCAGAGCGTGAGTGTCCCCAGGCTGACGGGCATCCCAAAGGCTCCTGGGGAAGGGAAGCTCGTGGCGCCAAGAGCGAGGACCACGCTGCTTCTGGGCCAGGCCCCTTCAGGGGTTAAGACAGCGAATCGCTTGGGCCCGGTGGCTCGGGCCTCTAATCCCAGCACTTTGGGCGGCGGAGGCGAGAGGACTCTCTGAGCTCAGGGGCTGGAGACACGTCTGGGCAACCGCGCGAGACCTGGTCTCTACAATAAACCAAAACATTAGCCGGGTGTGGTGGCGCGCTCCTGTGGTTCCGGCCACCTGGAAGGCTGAGGCCGAAGGATCGCCGGAGCCCGGCAGGTCGAGGCTGCGGGGGCCTGGGCAACACGGTGACTCCGGCTCAAAAAAGGAGAGGATTTAGATGCTCCTCTTGATGTTGAAGTCACCAGGCAGATGGAAGATTCTAGCTCTGCTCGTTTACTCACTTCTAAATATTTGGGTCTGTAAGCACCCTGTTTTGAAATGGATAAAACCCAGACCTGAAAGGTCGAGTCAAAAGTTGATTGTTAGCTGGGTATGGTGGCTCACGCCTGTTGATTCTTGAATTTCGGGAGGCTGAGGCCAGAGGATTGCCTGAGCCCAGGGTTTTGAGACAGACCTGGGCCACTTGGCAAGACTTTCGCATCTCTACAATAAATCAGAAAAATTAGCTGGGTGTGGTGGCTCATGCCTGTGGTTCCAGCTACTTGGAAGACTGAGGTGGAAGAGCCTGAGCCCAGCAGGTTGAGGCTACATGTAGTGGACCAGGAGCGTGTCACTGCACTCCAGGCTGGGCGACAGAGTGAGACTTAAAGATTAAAAAAATAATAATAATAAATTGATTTGTCATCTCTAGCATTGTCTCTTATCCACAGTCTAACTGCAGTTTTCTTTGTTTTTTTTACATTCAGATGAACAGGAAGTGGTGGTGGAGGTTCCCAGAGTTGTTGCCAATCCTCCAAAACCAGTCATGACCACCAGACCTACGGCTGTTAAAGCAACAGGTACAGTTTTGTTTTTAAAATATATTGCCGGGCTCGGTGGCGCAGCCTGTAATCTTGCGCCTTTGGGAGGCTGAGGTGAGTGGAATGCCTGAGCCCGCAGGTTCAAGACCTGCCTGGACAGCGAGACCGCATATCTACAATAAATCAAAAAATCAACTGGGTGTGGTAGTGCTCGCCTGTAATTCCGGCTACTCGGAAGGCTGAGGCGGAAGGATCGCCAGAGCCCAGCAGGTCAAGGCTGCAGTGACCGGGAGCGGCCACTGCACTCCAGTCTGGGCAACAGAGACTCCAACTCAAAAATAAATAAATTAAAAAAATATATTTTAGAGCCGGGCTCGGTGGCTCAGCCTGTAATCCTGTGCCTTTGGAAGGCTGCCGTGAGTGGATTGCCTAAGCCCGCGGGTTCAAGACCTGCCTGGGCAGTGAGACCTCATCTCTACAATAAAATCAAAAAATCAGCCGGGCGTGGTAGCGCATGCCTGTAATTCTGGCTACTCCGAAGGCTGAGGCAGAAGGATCGCCAGAGCCCAGCAGGCGAGGCTGCGGTGGCCGGGAACGGCCACTGCACTCCAGTCTGGGTGACTGAGTGAGACTCCAACTCAAAAAAAATAAATATAAATTTTAGAGTACCTTTCTTTAAGTTCAAATTGGGTTTGTATATAGAATGTTTTGTTGAATATGTCAGTGTTGCTGACTTGTAAACTTGTGTTCTTTTAACGTATGAAGATACTGGTGTGGTAACTATCCTGTTGAAAATCCCAGCACTTTGGTAGGCTGAGGTGGGAGAATCACTTGAGCCCAGGAGTTCAAGACCAGCCTAGGCAACATAGTGAGACCTTGACTCTACAAAAAATAAAAAAGTTAGCTAGGTGTGGTTGTGTACACCTGTAGCCCCAGCTATTCAGGAGGCTGAGGCAGGAGGATTACTCAAATCCAGAAGTTGGAGACTGGTGAGCTGAGATTGTGCCACTCACTGCACTCCAGTCTGGACAACATAGTGAAACCCTGTCTCAAAAAAAAAAAACATTGTTTTTCCTTTTTGTGAGGGCTTGTTGATACACAGTACTTTATCAAATGCAAAATTTGTTGCTTTTTCTCTACCCAAAATACCTTGTCCTTTTTCTTCTAATACTATTTTGTAACTAGTTTATTGGCTCTCCCAATAACTTGGTATTCTTCAGTATGCCAACTATGCTTGCTTATTTGCTTCTTTTCTAACACCTTCTCTTGATTGGTACCTAACATATATTTGTGGACCTGAAAGTTGCTCTTAGGTATTTTTCAGCACAAAGGAATACTGTAGTTACAATTGTGGTTTTGTAGACAAGCTTGGGTTCCTTTGTAAAATGGATTTTTTTAGCCCTGAATTATTTTGAGGATTAATTTGAATAATGTGTATACAGTTCTGTCATAGTAAGTGCCAAGGATGTTAATTTTCTTTACTCTTTACATTACCTTGAAAGATTAAAGTATATTTTGATATTAAATACTCTATAGTTGGTTGTAATTTTATTCTATTCAGCTTGGAATACTTTTTTACTATTTGGTACCTAAAATGATAGATATTTATTCTTTCCTTCCCACCATTTGCCACTTTAAAAAAAGATACTTGGCCAGGCTTAGTGACTCATGCCTATAATCCTAGCGCTTTTGGAGGCCAAGACGAGAGGATTGCCTGTATCCAGGAGTTTGAGACCATCTGGGCAACATGGTGAGACCTTGTCTCTACAATAATCAAAACATTAGCTGAGCATGATGGCGTGTGCCTATAGTCCCAGCTACTTGGAAGGCTGAGGCATAAGGTTCACCTAAGCCCAGTAGGTCGAGGCTGCAGTAGCCATGATTGTGCCACTACACTCTGGGTGACAGTGAGACTCCAATTCAAAAAGAAACCCAGTGTAGAATAGAAAAGCTAAAATTCAGTTGTGAAAGAAATTTCAGGAATATGTAAAATAGATATATTATTTCGTTTGAGCCTTCTAAGACTTGTGTAAGATGTGTGGAATTTAAATGTTTCTCAAAGAAATTCCTTCATTGCTGCTGTAGTTTGAATGTTCCCTTGTGACTAAACATTTTCCATTAGGCCTTATCACACAACACGTTACATTGGGGATTCAGTTTCCAAAACATGCTTTCTAGGGGCCACATTCAAACCGTAACAGGTGTATAACAGGTGTAGGCCTAAGAAATAATTTACTGTCTGATGTAGTTAGTAAATTATATGACACAGTCCCTCAAAGTTGAGCACATTGAAGTTTGAGGGGAGACCACTCCTAACAAAAAAAGGCTGCTAAAGACCATGGCCTGAAAAATAATGTTGCTTTCTCAAGTTTTTTTTTTTTGAGTTGGAGTCTCACTTTGTCGCCCAGACTAGAGTGCAGTGGCTGCTCCCAGCCACTGCAGCCTTGACCTGCTGGGCTCTGGCGATCCTTCCACCTCAGCCTTCCGAGTAGCTGGAACTACAGGCGCGCGCTACCACGCCTGGCTAGTTTTTGATTTATTGTAGAGATGAGGTCTCGCCAAGTTGCCCAGGTGGGTCTGGAACCCGCATGCTCAGGCAATCCACTCACCTCAGCCTCCCAAAGCACTGGGATTACAGGCTGAGCCACCGAGTCCGGCTGACTGGTTTATTTTTTATATTTTTTTGTAGAGATGAGGTCTCACTGGATTGCCCAGGCTGAAAAATGGGTTTTTTGTTTGTTTGTTTTGAGTTGGAGTCTCACTCCATCACCCAGGCTGAATGGAGTGCAGTGACATGTTCACCTCCACCCCAGCACTGACATGTGGACTCCAGCGATCCTTTCGCCTCAGCCTTCCAAGTAGCCATAACTACAGGCACACACTACCACACCCGGTTCATTTTTTATTGTAGAGACAAAGTCTCGCCAAGTTGCCTGGGCTGGTCTCAAACCCACAGGCTCAGACAATTCACTCGCCTTGTCCTCCCAAAGTGCTGGGATTACAGACTGAGCCACCAAGCCTGGCCAAAAATTGATTTTTAGCATGTATTTGTGGTCTGGTTTTGGTAGCTGATGCTGTAATCCCAGCACTTTGGGAGGCTGAGGCAGGCAGATGGCTTGAGCCCAGTAGTTTGAGACCAGTCTGGGTAACACAGCAAGATCCCCTCAACAAAAAATTTAAAACATTAGCCAGGTGTGGTTACATACACCTGTAGTCCTAGATAAGTGCGAGGCTGAACTGGGAGGATCATTTGATGTCAGTGTGAGGCTGCAGTGAGCTATAACTGGGTGATAGGGCAAGATTCTGTGTCTAAAAAAAAAAAAATTTGGAAATTAATATTTTGTATAAGAACTTACTAAAAACAAAGTGAAGGCAAGAATTAATTACATGACTAAAGCATTGACTGTGAGCTTGTCTATGATTTCTGGAACAATTTGTATTTACAGGTGAGGTCCTGAGTTCATTTATGGAATGTATGACACAGAAAACTAAATTTCACTTCCTGATAAATCTGTCCATTTGCCACATTTTTATTGAGAACATAGACTATGCTAGGCCCTGTGAATTTTAATCTAATTAGTAGATGGAGAGGTCTAGCTGTAATTAAACATTTCATGTATTTATAATAAATTTATATAGAGAGAGGGGAGGGTATATGCTCACTTAATTGTAACAACAGAGTAGAAACGGGACCCAATAGGAAATGGGATAGCAGCATTATAGAGGTCACACCTGATACCATTTGAATTTGGGGAAGACGATTGTAATTGGTTCTAACCATTTTGACTCCCATTTTATTTATTTATTTCTGAGTTGGAGTCTCACTCTGTCACCCAGACTGGAGTGCGGTGGCATGCTCATGGCCACCGCAGCCTCGACCTGCTGGGCTCCGACGATCTTTCCGCCTCAGCCTTCCAAGTAGCCAGAACTACAGGCATGTGCTACCACGCCCGGCTGATTTTTGATTTATTGTAGAGATGAGGTCTCGCCAAGTTGCCCAGACGGGTCTCGAACCCGTGGGCGCAGGCAACCCACTCACCTCGGCCTCCCAAAGCCCGGGATTACAGACTGAACCACCGAGCCCGGCCTTGACTCCCATTTTAATTCATGTCACTTTCTGTTTGAGAAATGATTATTAGTTATAACTTTGTTTTTAACTTTGGAAAATCTTTGTTTCAATTGCTACACCTAGTCAGCTTAGTTGTTTGAGGTGAACACTTTAATTACCAGATTCTAAAATGATGTGTGCTATTTTGAAAGAGAAGCCGGACGCAGTGGCTCATGCCTATAATCCCAGCACTTTGGGAGTCAAGTGGATTGATTGCCTGAGCCCACGGGTTTGAGTCTAGCCCATGCAACATGGTGAGACCTTGTCTCTACAATAATTGAAAAAATTATCTGGGTGTGGTGGAACATGCCTGAGCCCAGCAGGTCAAGGCTGTTGTGGCTGTGAGTGTGCCATCACATTCCAGCCTGGGCAACAGAGTGAACTCCAACTCAAAAAAAGAGAGAGAGAGTGAGGTTGAATAATTGTATATTTTGGGAAGGGTGTCAAGTAGCTGTGCAGATTGATTTTTTTCAATCTTCTTGTCTTTTTCCTTTTTCTTCTTGTTTTTTTTGGGGGGTTCTGGATAGAGAATGAGTTCAGACTGGTCTTGAACTCCTGGGCTCAAGCAGTCCTCCTGCCTTAGAGCCTCCCGAGTAGCTGGAATTATGTGCGTATGCCACTGTTCCCTGCTCACAGAGTGGTTTTAGTAGCTCTAGGTGTATAATATGATTTATGTCTCTGTGGTAGTCTAGTGTTTATTAATTTTGAAGTTGTCTTGTAGCCTGTAAATGAAGTGAATGTAAAAAACTCTGACTAGAAAAACATGTCATACTTTCTCTTACTTCTAGGACTTGTTGGCATTGTTGCCGCTAATCTTTTCTTTTTCGTTTCTAGGCGGTCTGTGCTTACTTGGTGCTTACGCTGACAGTGATGATGATGAGAGTGACATTTCCGAAAAACCGCCACAATCCAAAGAGGCAAATGGAAATCAGTCAAATGATATCGATAGTACATTGGCCAACTTCCTAGCGGTTAGTAGGACTTTTGTTTTGGTTTGTAGTTACTGAAGCCACTTGGGATCTGGATCTCAAGTGGTCAGCGTACATGTCTGTATCTTCCCCTGTCTTCTCCCCCTCCCTCCTTTTCTTCCCATTTCTCCTTTTCTCATGAAGCTTTTAAGAAGAAAGGAGAAGTTCAAGGGTTTGGGGAGCTTGTGTAATTGGAAGATGAGAATCTTGATTTGAGAAGCTGAGAATAGGCATATTGGTTTTTTTTAAGTTTCTGGTTTTTGTATAATTAATGCATTTATTGACTTTTCATTCTGAAGGAGATTGATGCCATAACAGCTCCTCAGCCTGCAGCTCCTGTGGGAGCTTCTGCTCCACCTCCAACTCCACCTCGACCAGAGCCAAAGGAAGCATCAGCTTCTGCCCTTTCTTCCACTACTTCAAATGGAACCGACTCAACCCAAGCATCAGGGTGGCAGTATGATACTCAGTGTTCACTGGCAGGAGGTACAATTGATCCTTTAATTTTTTCCTTTTTTGTTTGAGTCAGAGTCTCACTCTGTTGCCCAGGCTGGAGTGCAGTGGCTCAACGGCCACCCCAGTATCATCTCACTAGGTTCAGGCAATCCTTTTGCCTCAGCCTTCCAAGTAGCCAGAACTACAGGCGTGTGCTACCATGCCCGGCTGATTTTTTGATATATTGTAGAGATGAGGTCTTGTCAAGTTGCCTGGGCTAGTCTCGAACCCCTGGGTTCAGGCAGTCCTCTCGCCTCGGCCTCCCAAAGTGCTGGGATTACAGGCTTGAGCCACCGCATCTGGCCGATCCTTTGATTTTTTTTTTAAGGAAATCTGAAGGGCAGTCCATCTAGATACTGGCATTTAAAGGTGAAAACCAGATGCTCTAGCCCCAGGCTTAAGGTTTCTGTCCTTCAAATACGATATTTGGAAGAAGGCGGGTAGAATGGTGATCTCTGAAAACTTATGGGACACAATATTTCTCTTTTGAAAAGTAATAGCTTACACTTTTATTATCTTTTTAACTTTTCCCCCTTCCCCCCCAGTAGCTTGCATTTTTAACCAGTAGCTGCTTATGCCAAGTGAATAATAAAAGCCATTGTTTTAAAAAGTATCTCAGGGTTCAGAATACATTTTTGAAGTAACAAACATCTTTTTTTAAACCACGTGTGGAAAGATGACGCTAAGTGTTTATTGAGGAAATAATTCTTCATGTTAGACCAGTGGTTCTCAACTGGAATGTGGGACCCCCAGGCAATATTTGGCAATGTCTATACATATTTTTGGTTGTCACAAAACAGGAGGTAGGGATAGTTGGAAGTGTTAACTGCATCCAGTGAATGCTACCCAGAGGTGCTGCTAAAGACCCTCTGTAGGACTGTCCTCCACAATAAAGATCTGTCAGCCCAGGCCGGGCTTGATGGCTCAGCCTGTAATCCCAGCGCTTTGAGAGGCCGAGGTGAGTGGATTGCCTGAGCCCGCGGGTTCAAGACCTGCCCGGGCAACTTGGCAAGACCTCATCTCTACAATAAATCAAAAAATTAGCTGGGCGTGGTAGTGCACGCCTGTAGTTCCAGCTACTCGGAAGGCTGAGGTGGGAGGATCACCAGAGCGCAGCAGGTGGAGGCTGTGGTGGCCGGGAGCGGCACTGCACTCCAGTCTGGGCAACAGAGTGAGACTCCAACTCAAAAAAAAATAAAAGATCTGTCAACCCAAATGTTAATAGTGCTGTTTGAGAAACTGTGTGGGTTTAGAACTGACTTGAGATGTAAGCCAGAACTGTTGGAGGAATTTGTACTTAAAATGTGTTTTATTTTCTTCTAGTTGGAATTGAGATGGGAGATTGGCAAGAAGTATGGGATGAGAACACAGGATGCTATTATTATTGGAACACACAAACAAATGAAGTGACTTGGGAGTTACCCCAATATCTTGCAACCCAGGTGCAGGGATTGCAACATTACCAGCCCAGGTGAGAATCAACTTGGAAAGAAATTACCTGGGGGGGAAATCAGGGTGATTTTTTTGCTAATAGTATTTTTCTTGTATTTCCCTTGCTAAGTATGTATATATTTTTAAGTTCTGTCCCAGGTGCTGAAGCTACTTTTGTAGTAAATACGGATATATATGCTAAGGAGAAAACCATTTCAGTTTCCAGTAGTAAAAGTGGACCAGTCATTGCCAAGCGAGAGGTTAAAAAGGTCAGTGTTGCAACTTACCTCATTTGTTTACTTTCAAATCTAATAAACTTGAATGTTAACTTTGAGCACAGGTACAGAAACCTTCTATTAATATTTTATATATAGATGTGATTTAGAATGAATAGTTTCACCAAGTTTTACTTAATCTATTTCTGTGTATTACATAGCATTTATTTTTTTTGTTTGGGAGTGTTTTGTTTTGTTTTGTGTTTTGTTTTTGAGTTGGCGTCTCACTCTGTCACTCAGGCTGGAGTGCAGTGGCACACTCAAGGCCACCGCAGCCTTGACCTGCTGGGCCCAGGCAATCCTACCAAGTAGCTGGAACCACAGGCATGCACCACCATGACCATCAAAATTTTTTTGTTTATTTTATTTTATTTTATTTTATTTTTTTGAGTGGAAGTCTCACTCTGTCACCCAGACTGGAGTGCAGTGGCCGCTTCCGGCCACCGCAGCCTCGACCTGCTGGGCTCTGGCGATCCTTCCGCCTCAGCCTTCCAAGTAGCCGGAATTACAGGCATGCGCTACCACGCCCGGCTGATTTTTTGATTTATTGTAGAGATGAGGTCTCGCTGCCCAGGCGGGTCTCGAACCCGCGGGCTCAGGCAATCCACTCACCTCAGCCTCCCAAAGGCGCGGGATTACAGGCTGAGCCACCGAGCCCGGCCTTTTGTTTATTTTAGAGATGAGGTCTTGCCAAGTTGCCCAGGCTCATCTCGAACCCCCGGGCTCAGGCAATCTTCTCACCTCCATATCCCAAAGTGCTGTGATAACAGTTGTGAGTCACCATTTGCAGCTATTATATAGCATTTATAGCAGTTACCTAGTTCAGTCGTTCTTTCAGAGCTTTAGAATACCACAGAGATCATTGTGAAGGACACAGGAGCAGCCATCCAGGCAGGGTTCCTGGTCCCTATTTCCACTTCATGCAGAATCACTCTGTTATTGAGATTCCACATAAGGTTTTTTTAAAAATAAAAAGGTCTACTACCTTACAGATTATAAATAACTACAGGTTGAGTATCTGTTATCTGAAATACTTGGAACTAGAAGTGTTTTTAAAATGAGTTTATCGGGCAATCCCTTCAGGTCCCCTCCCACTCTGGGAGCTTTTCTGTTCTCCCGATAAGTCCTGCTTTAAAAAAAAATCAGTTAATCTCTATAGGACAAATACTATCCTGGTAGGTAATTTAAACATAATCAATCACACATTTCATGTTAAGGGTATTTCACCTTTCTCTGAATCGCCTTCGGAGCATACCTGCGAAATTTTTTCATCATACAGGAAAAAATGAAGATTTATCCAGTTATGTGTTGAGGTGAAAAAATACTGATCTTATTTAAATATCCTTCTGCTTAGCACTACTAGTCTGCCATTTGACATCCTCAGAACAGTGGAGAGGATATATTTAACTCCCACACAGAACTAAGTTCCACTACAACCACTGCTTTTCTAAAGTAACAATGTTCCGTTTTACAGAGGGTGCCAAAAAAAACGTATGCACATTTTAAGAGAGGAAAAAAAACTATTAAAGTTGTAATACTCAATATATACTGATAACAAAAGATGAATACAAGTCATGTTTTACTTCTACAGTTGCGAGAGGTGCTTAAAGTGGTTACCATCAGCGTCTAGACATTTCTTTTTTTTTTTTCTGAGTTGGAGTCTCATTCTGTCACCCAGACTGGAGTGCAGTGGCCGCTCCCAGCCACCACAGCCTCGACTTGCTGGGCTCCAGCAATCCTTCCGCCTCAGCCTTCCAAGTAGCTGGAATTACAGGCATGCGCTACCACGCCCGGCTGATTTTTTAATTTATTGTAGAGATGAGGTCTCGCTGCCCAGGCGGGTCTCGAACCCACAGGCTCAGGCAATCCACTCACCTCAGCCTCCCAAAGGCGTGGGATTACAGGCTGAGCCACCGAGCCCGGCTCAGACATTTCTAATTACAGCGAACTAAAAGCAATACATAGATAACAGCTCTTAAAATATGTATAAATTTTTTGACACCCCCAGGTATTTTTATATAGGTGAAAATATACTCTCGTCTGCTGAAGGTAAGTAGGTTTTAAGAGTATCTAGTGTTGGCTCACGGTCTGTAGTTCCAGCACACTGGGAGGTGGGAGGATTGCTCAAGCCATCCCAGCTACTTGGGAGACCACAGCGGAAGGATTGCCTGAACCCAGGAGGTCAAGGCTCTGGTGAACTGTAATCGTTCCACTGCACTCCAATGTGGGCAACTGAGTGAGACCTGACTCAGAAAAGTATCCAAAGCCGAACTTGGTAGTTCAATCTGTAACCCCAGCACTTTGGGAGGCTGAAATGAATGGATTGCCTAAGCCCACAGGTTCGAGGCTAGCCCAGGCAACTTGGCAAGACCTTGTATCTACAATAAATCAAAAATTAGCCGTGCGTGCCTATAGTTCTGGCTACTTGGAAGGCTGGAGTATAAGGATCGTTGGAGCCTAGTAGGTCGATGCTGGGGTGGCTGTGAGTGTGCCCTCCAGCCTGGGTGACAGAGTGAGACTCCAACTCTTACACGCACACACAAAAGTATCCACTGAATGACTGTAAACATTTAATATGAACAATTTAATGTATGTGCAGATGAACTTTCTTTAAGAATAAAGTGAGAGCCGGGCTCAGTGGCTCAGCCTGTAATCCCACGCCTTTGGGAGGCTGAGGTGAGTGGATTGCCTGAGCCTGCGGGTTCGAGACCTGCCTGGGCAACTTGGCAAGACCTCATCTCTACAATAAATCAAAAAAATTAGCCGGGCATGGTAATGCGTGCCTGTAGTTCCAACTACTTGGAAGGCTGAGGTGGAAGAATCGCTGGAGCCCAGTAGGTCGAGGCTGCGGTGGCCGGAAGCGGCCACTGCACTCCAGTCTGGGCGACAGAGTGAGACTCCAACTCAAATAAAATAAAATAAAATAAATAAAAAAAAGAATAAGTGAGACCCCATGCTCCCCTCCCCAATTTCATGTTCCTTTAATAAACATTTTAGTACCTAAAAAAGAAGGAATAAAATGAAACTAAAGTATTTTATTTTTTTATAGGAAGTAAATGAAGGAATTCAGGCTCTTTCAAATAGTGAGGAGGAGAAGAAAGGGGTGGCAGCATCACTACTTGCTCCTTTATTGCCTGAGGGAATAAAAGAGGAAGAAGAGAGATGGAGAAGAAAAGTAATTTGTAAAGAAGAGCCGGTTTCAGAAGTGAAAGAAACAAGTACAACAATAGAAGAAGCAGCAACAATAGTAAAACCACAGGAGATTATGTTGGACAGTATAGAAGACCCTTCTCAGGAAGATCTTTGCAGTGTTGTCCAATCTGGAGAGAGTGAGGAGGAAGAAGAACAAGATACCCTTGAGCTGGAGTTAGTTTTGGAAAGGAAAAAAGTAAGCTTTTTAAGGTTTAGAGGAAGTGCATTTTTACTTCAGTACTGTTGTACACAGAGATCATTGTATTTGACTTACAGTCATTATTTGGATTTTGTTTTTCTTATCTCATCATCGTGGTATGTTTAAGCTTCTGCAGTAAAAACTTGTACTACAGAGTTGTTTTTTGGTGATACTTTTGGTGGTTGACAACCCATAAAGACTTGACATTGTTCTGATTTAAGGGTAGATACAGTGCGTAATGAAACTTTGATTTAGCTTTGTAAATGAGCATTGTAAATGAATGATGTGGTAACTCTGTTTTTAACCCAGCAGTTAAGGTTCAAGTTTATTCCCAGAGATCAGCCATAGCATTGTCTGGATGATTAAATGGACCTTGCAAGATAACAGTAGAATTAAAAGGAGCCTATAATTTCATGTGTCTTTTTTTTAAAAAGGTAGTCCACAGGAAACTTTGCCTTTTTTTTATAGAACAAGGTTCTTCTGCTGCCTTAAAAGGTCCTCATGTTGAGCAAAATCTTCACAGGTGTTATAATGGTAATATCTCCTTGAAGCTTTTCCCTATTTGAAGAATTTTAAGCTATGGAAGATTAGCTAAATTAAGCTTTTTTGGTTGGGTATACATACTGAAAAATTTATATATTTGTGGATCTCTAGAAGGTATCAGTATTCATTACTGTAATCATGAATACACATTTAATGAGTGCCAGTAGAATATGGAGCATAATGCTCAGTTCTCATGGAAAAAAATGCATTAAGAAATGATTCCTGTTTTTAGAGGTTTTAAATTCCAAGAACAAGTCATGTCTATTCTTTCTACTTAGAAATGCTGAATTATGTTGTCAAGCAGTTAGTGACACTTTCTTGTCATGTTTTTTGTAGGCAGAATTGAGAGCCTTAGAGGAAGGAGATGGTAGTGTGTCAGGGTCTAGTCCACGTTCTGATGTCAGCCAGCCAGCATCTCAAGATGGAATGCGTCGACTTATGTCTAAGAGAGGAAAATGGAAGATGTTTGTTCGAGCTACCAGTCCAGAATCTACCAGCCGGAGTTCTAGCAAAACTGGACGAGATACTCCAGAAAATGGAGAAACTGGTAATTTGTGTTTCACCTTAAACTTTAGAGTTGAGCGATTTAGAGGGGAAGGAAACCCTTCTTTCTCTTTGTGATTCCTCTTCAGCAAAAAGAGGACGAGCACACATACCTTTTGGGGCATTGCTGGGAAGGAAGCTTCCTTTCATTCCTGCCATTTCCTGTTCTACCTCTAGTAGAAGAGAAAGAGTCTTAGAGGCTTTTTTCAATCTATTGCCAGAGAATTATGAACAAAGCTAATATTTTAATCTCCATTTGACCCTAATTCTGTAGTAGAAAGTTAGCAGTAAGATTTGAACACCAAACCTTATTTGAGTACACCTAGCAGAATACGCTTTTTTATAGGTCATGGTTAGAAAATATACAGGTTGTTGGCATGGGGGTCTCCTGTGGGAGGATCGTTCAAGCCTAGGAGTTTGAAAACCTGTCTCTAAAAAAAACAAAACAAAATCAAACATCCTGTTTGAATGTTTTCAATCAGCAGTATAGAAGAACATAAAGGAAAATCCTAAAAGTTTCCATTTAATCTTTCCTTATTCTCATTCCCTACCCCTGTGGGGTTTTTTTTTTGTTTGTTTTTTGTTTGTTTTTTAGTTGAAGTCTCACTGTTGCTTTGGCTGGAGTGCAGTGGCACAGTCATAGCTACAGCAGCCTCAACCTGCTGGGCTCGGCCGATCCTTCCACCTCAACCTTCCCAAGTAGCTGGGACTACAGTGCACACAACTATAACCAGCTAATTTTTTTTTTTTTGGTGGGGAAGAGGTCTTGCCATGTTGCCCAGGCTGGTCTCGAACTCCTGGGCTCAGACAATCCTCTCACTTCAGCCTCCCAAATTCTAGGATTACAGATGGGAGACGTACACAGACTCCATGGTCCATTTTTTTTTTTTTTTTGAGTTGGAGTCTCACTCTGTCGCCCAGACTGGAGTGCAGTGGCTGCTCCCGGCCACCGCAGCCTTCCGAGTAGCCGGAATTACAGGCACATACTACCATGCCCCGCTGATTTTTTTGATTTATTGTAGAGATGAGGTCTCGCCAAGTTGCCCAGGCGGGTCTTGAACCCGCAGGCTCAGGTGATCCACTCACCTCAGCCTCCCAAAGGCGCGGGATTACAGGCTGAGCCACCGAGCCTAGCTTGGTCCATTTTCTTAATCTGTTCTATACATATATCCTTCCAGACCTTTTCCTCTATATACATTTGTAGTTGTGTATGTAGGAGTTGTTAATGTGTGCATATGTAAATTATACTATAGATAAGATACCATATAGACTTTTGGGCAGCATAAACTTTTTTCACATAATAAAATATCTGAAAAGTAATTGTTTTATACTTAGGGAGGCCAAGGTAGGAGAATTTCTTGAGCCCAGGAGTTCAACACCAGCTTAGGTAACATAGCTAGACCTGGTCTCTACAAAATAAATTTCTTCTTTTGAGTTGGAGTCCCACTCTGTCACTCAGGCTGGAGTGCAGTGGTACATTCACGGCCATCCCAGCGTCGACCCACTGGGTTCAGACAATCCTTCCACATCAGCCTTCCAAGTAGCCGGAACTACAGACATGCACTACTACGCCCGGCTAATTTTTTGGTTTTCCTGTTGTAGAGATGAGGTCTTGCCAAGTTGCCCAGACTGTTCGCAAACCTGTGGGCTCAGGCAATCCTTTCATCATGGCCTCCCAAAGTACTGGGATTATAGGCTTGAGTCACCATGCCTGGCCTTAGAGAGTTCATATCTTTTTTTTTTTTTTTGAGTTGGAGTCTCACTCTGTTGTCCAGACTGGAATGCGGTGGCCGCTTCCGGCCACCGCAGCTTCGACCTGCTGGGCTCCGGCGATCCTTTCGCTCAGCCTTCCAAGTAGCTGTAACTACAGGCACGCGCTACCACGCCCGGCTAATTTTTTGATTTATTGTAGAGATGAGGTCTCGCCAAGTTGCCCAGACTGTTCGCAAACCCGCAGGCTCAGGCAATCCACTCACCTCAGCCTCCCAAAGGCTCAGGATTACAGGCTGAGCCACCGAGCCCAGCTGAGAGTTCATATCTTATAATTAAGTTGGTGGTAAACCTATGCTGTTTTGGGGATTCTCACTGCCAGCACCTGTGAGCACCCAGCTAGAATAACTGAGTTCAGTATAGATTGTCTGTAGGTCTTAAACAGTTCAGGAATTTGTCAGGTAGTGTAAAATTAATGCTGCTCTGATTTTGAGTGCCTTCCCCAACTCCCAAACATGGTAAAGAATCCTTATGTATCCCTGGTTTGATAATCTAGCTATTGTAAGTAATTGAAACAGTGGTATTCTGAGGAGGGATGATAAGGAGCTAGGGAGAACAGACACTTAAGGGTAATCTGGTAGAATAAAGCAAAACTTATTTATACACATATTTTAAGAAAGGCGTTTATAAAGGATGAAGTTTTTGGCTTTATAAAGACAGTAGGTTGGCCAGGTGTGGTGGCTCACTCCTATAATCCTATCACTCGATGAGGCTGAGACTGGAAAATTGCTGGAGCCCTGGAGTTCAGGACCACCCTGGGCAACAGTGAGACCTCATTTTGAAGAAAACAAACAAAGACAAGTTATAAGGGCTTTAACAAGTGAGGAAAGCAGGCCAGGCGTGGTGACTTACACCTGCAGTCTTAGCACTTTGGGAAACTGAGGCAGGATGGTCACTTGAGACCAGAAATTGAGACCAGCCTAAGCAACATAGTGAGACCTCATCTATACAAAAAATAGAACCGTTAGCTGGGTGTGTAGTCCCAGCAACTCGGGAGGCTGCAGTGAGCCATTATCTTGCTGCTTAACTCCAGCCTGGGTGGCAGAGTGAGATCCTGTCTCCAAAAAAAAAGTTAGCAACCTTTTTCAGATATTTCTTCTGCTGCAGAGAGAAATATATAGGATTCTATCTTCACATTTTATTTTACAGCAATTGGTGCTGAAAATTCAGAAAAAATAGATGAGAATTCAGACAAAGAGATGGAAGTAGAAGAATCTCCAGAGAAAATCAAAGTACAAACAGTACCAAAATCAGAAGAGGAACAGGATTTGAAAGTATGTATATTATTTAATGCAATTTGCGAAATACTCTTTAAAGTACCAATAATTAAACTTTCTATTAGCAAGCTGTAAAAGTAATCTTGACTGTCTCCAAACCTAAATTATTTATTTGGTTATGTGAAAAGCTCTTTTTTTTTTGTTTGTTTGTTTTTTTATGGTGAGAAGATATATATTTAGAATTAGCTAGCTGGACCTTGTTTAAATGATCCCAATTTTGTTGGCAACGTCCAAAGCATCATAATCAGGAGCCAGTCGAACGTATGCCTTCTTCTCTCCATCAGGCCTAATCAGGGTGTTGACCTTGGCAACATCAATGTCATAAAGCTTCTTCACAGCCTGTTTTATCTGGTGCTTGTTGGCTTTAACATCCACGATGAACACGAGCGTGTTGTTGTCTTCTGTTTTCTTCATGGCAGACTCGGTGGTTAGGGGAAACTAGATGATGGCATAATGGTCAAGCTTGTTTCTCCTGGGAGCACTCTTCAGGATATTTGGGCTGCCTCCGGAGCCTCAGAGTCTTGGGCCTCCGGAAAGTGGGTGACATGCAGATCTTTTTTTTTTGTGGCTGTGGACGCCTTTCAGCACTGCTTTCTTGGCCTTCAATGCCTTTGCTTTGGCTTCAGCTTTAGGAGGGGTAGGAGCAGGACGTGTGCCAGGAGCTTCCTTCTTGGCCTTTGGCGCCATCTTGTGAAAAGGCGAAAAGATCATTTTTAAGGCTCTAATAATTAACTATGAGACTGGCTTGGCCGGGCTCGGTGGCTCAGCCTGTAATCCTGTGCCTTGGGAGGCCGAGGTGAGTGAATTGCCTGAGCCCGCGGGTTCGAGACTCGCCTGGTCAATTTGGCGAGACCTCATCTCTACAATAAATCAAAAAATTAGCCGGGCATGGTAGTGCGCACCTGTAGTTCCAGCTACTTGGAAGGCTGAGGTGATAGGATCGCCAGAGTCCATCAGGTTGAGGCTGTAATAGCGGGGAGCGTGCCATTGCACTCCAGTCTGGGCGACAGAGTGAGACTCCAACTAAAAAAAAAAAAAAGACTGACTTGATGTTGACAGATTTCTAAAAATCCATCATAAATGCTTAACTACCTTTTTTCAAGTTAATCTTCCATTGAGAAGCAATAAGATTGTGAATATTGGCTTCTCTAGTTTGGGAATCCTAAAGAGTCTAAAGCTTATGGATTTAATTCCTGCAAGAAATACTTGTCTTCACACAGAAGCAGATTTAGTTCAAATTGCATTTTTAACCTAATCTCATGGGGACAGCTGGACCAAGTTAAGTATTGGCTAGTTAAGGTCAGTCTGTTAGGAAAACCAGTTAGCATGTTCTTTTGACTTGAAAGAGTATCTGAGCCGGGCTTGGTGGCTCAGCCTATAAACCCGCGCTTTGGGAGGCTGAGGTGAGTGGATTGCCTGAGCCCGCGGGTTCGAGACCCGCCTAGGCAACTTGGTGAGACCTCATCTCTACAATTAAAAATCAAAAATTAGCCGGGCGTGGCAGCGTGCGCCTGTAGTTCCAGCTACTTGGAAGACTGAGGCGGAAGGATTGCTGGAGCCCAGCAGGTTGAGGCTGTGGTGGCCTGGAGCGTGCCACTGCACTCCAGTCTGGGCGACAGAGCTAGACTCCAACTCAAAAAAAAAAAAAAAAGGAAAAGAAAGAGTATCTGATCACTGATTACTGAACAACCATGTAAAATGGACGGGGAGAAATAATTTTGTTTCACATTTAAATGAATGGCTAGTATAAGCAATTAATGGATAAATGGCAATTTGGCAATAGTGGGAGTTATATCCTTCAGAGTCTGTTTTTTTTTTCAGCTTTCTGGAGATATAATTGACAAGTAAAAATTAAATACATCTTATGTGAACAATGTGATGGTTTGTTATATTGTGATATGATTATCACAGACCAGCTAATTAAACTGTATACCACCTTACCCTTCATAGTTGTCGGGCATACATGTGTTGAGAACATTTAAGATCTACTGTCTTGACAAATTTCAAGTATATACAGTACAGAATTGTTAGCTGTGGGCACCTTGTTATACATTAGATCCCCAGAACTTACTCATTTTATAATTGGAAGTGTGTGTTCTTTGACCAACATCTCTCCATTTCCCACTCTCTCCAGACCCTGGCAACCATTAATTCTACTCTCCTTGAGTTCACCTTGTTTAGACTATGATTTACTTGCAACTGTTGAATTCCATTTTGGGTTAGAATCTATGTTGTATTAGATGGTATGAGTAGGTAAGCATTTGGTTGCTATAGACTTGCCATTATTACTGTGTTATATGAGTTGTTTCACTATAAATTAGAATATTATCTTTGATATAACTAGATATAGCCATTTCAGGAAGACTGTACATAGGCAGACTCTTATTTCTATTATCTGAAACAATAAGTGAAAGGTTGTACATAATACAAAAGATAATGGTGACTCTGTTTTATTTTTATTTCCTTTCTTGCCTTGTAGTTTCAGATTGGAGAACTGGCAAATACCCTGACAAGTAAATTTGAATTCCTAGGCATAAATAGACAATCCATCTCCAACTTTCATGTGCTGCTCTTACAGACCGAGGTAATTTAGCCATTTTTGGTATGAACAGTATTTGAATGAAATGCTGTATGTGTTAAGACTCTGTTTTGGCCAGCACAGTATCTCAATCTGTGATTTCAGCAACATAGCAAGACCTCATCTCTACAGAAAATTTTGTTTAAAAAGTTTGTCTCGGCTGAGCTCAGTGGCTCAGCTTGTAATTCCAGCACTTTGGGAGGTCAGGGCAAGAGGATTGCCTTAGCCTGGGGGTTTGAGACCTGCCTGGGCAATGTGGCGAGACCTCGTCTCTACAATAAATAAAAAAATTAAACAGGTGTGGTAGCACGTGCCTGTAGTTCCAGCTGCTTGGAAGACTGAGGCAGAAAGGTCATCTGAGCCCAGCAGGTCGAGGCTGCGGTGGCCATGAGCGTGCCACTGCACTCCAACTTGGGTGACAGAGTGAGACTGCAACTCAAAAAAGAAAAAAAAACCAAAAAGTTTGTCTTGTTTTAAGCCTGAATTTAAAGCTATTGTTTTTTGTTTGTTGTGTCTCACTCTGTTGCCCAGGCTGCCCAGGCTGGAGTGTAGTGCCACACTTTTACAGCCACCGCATGCTCAACCTGCTGGACTGAAGGATCCTTCTGCCTCCACCTTCCAAATAACTGGGACTATAGGCATGTGCCACCACCCCCAGCTAATATTTTTTATTTATTGTAGAGACAAGGTCTCACCAGGTTGCCCAGGCTAGTCTTGAATCCCTGGGCTCAGGCGGTCCTCTCACCTCTACTTCCCAAAGTGCTGGGTTTACATGCGTGAGCCACCACACCTGGCCTAAATTTAAAGTTTTAGCCTTGATGCATATTTCAACCACCAACTCGGGAAATAAAACTATATATTTTTTATTTTTATTTTTTTTGAGTTGGAGTCTCACTCTGTCACTCAGACTGGAGTGCAGTGGCTGCTCCTGGCCACCGCAGCCTCGACTGCTGGGGTCCAGCAATCCTTCCGCCTCAGCCGTCCAAGTGGCCGGAATTATAGGCATGTGCTACCATGCCCAGCTGATTTTTGATTTATTGTAGAGATGAGGTCTCGCCAAGTTGCCTAGGCAGGTCTCGAACCCACGGGCTCAGGCAATTCATTCACCTTGGCCTCCCAAAGCACGGGATTACAGGCGGAGACACTGAACCCGACCATAAAACTATATATTAGCCAAAGCAAAGCATGTACCTTTTTTTATCTAGTGAGTTGAAATTGTATTATAACAGTCATGTGAGAATATAATATAATGTCAAAGGTGCTTTGTAAGGATTAGAACTTTGTAAATCTTTTTAAAAAGAAAAATTCTGAATCCTATTTGTTACCTACATACTTTATAAAAATGGCAGGTTATGACTAGTTAAGGAGCTCTTTTAGGAAGCTGACTGATTTCCTTAAGAACTGGACCTTTGGCCAGGCTCAGTAGCTCAGCCTGTAATCCCAGCACTTTGAGAGACCGAGGCAAGTAGATTACCTGAGTCCACCGGTTTGAGACCAGCCCAGGCAACTTGGTAAGCCTTCGTTTCTACAATAAATAAAAGATTAGCTGTGCATGGTAGCGCACACCTGTTGTTCCGGCTACGTGGAAGGCTGAGGCGGAAGGATCATCAGAACCCAGCAGGTCGACACTGGGATTGCTGTGAGCATGCCACTGCAGTTCAGACTGAGCGACGGAGTGATACTCTAACCCCCTCAAAAGATAAAGAACTGAACCTTTAATTTTGATTACTGACATAACTGAACTAAATGAACTATCTACCAGATACAGTAGAAAGTAAAATCACTGGGGAAGCCAATCTTAGTAAGCCTAACAGGAAAGATAAAACCACTGCTATTTTCACAGATACTGGAGAGTGGGCAGTGTAAAAATCCACTGGGGGCCAATCTAATTTTTCAGAACTCTGTAGTGCACTTATGAATGAAGATGGTTTTACTTTCCTGTCTGGCCTACTTTTCTGCTAGAGTATAGCAGTAGAGTCTTAGAGCAGAGACCTTATGTCCTGACATAGTCTAAGTCTTGAACTTGCTCCTCTGTCGATTCCAGACTCGAATTGCAGACTGGCGAGAAGGGGCGCTTAATGGAAACTACCTTAAACGAAAACTTCAGGATGCAGCAGAACAACTAAAACAGTATGAAATAAACGCCACTCCTAAAGGCTGGTCCTGCCACTGGGACAGGTACGCACTCTTCTCCCCTTTTCACCTTTCACCTTTGACATCTCAGACATGATTTGTGATCACCACCACCTGACGACATGACAGCCTGGAGACTGAGAGCAGCTGCAGTTAGCGGTGCTGGGCAGGCAAAGCACCGTACGCACAGTCTGGCCAGTCACACATTGGAGAAACAAAAGCAATGTTTAAAGTGTTCCATGTAACGGATTTTTTCCCAAGATGGACAAAGCTGGTGTTTACTCTCCAGAGTGTTGCACGGAGTAGGGCGGGCTTGGGGGTTAAGCGCATGCGAGAGCTCTGTGCGCTTTACAGGACCTCTGGAAGCAACTACTCCTGATTAACCTCGGTGAAGTTAAGGAAAACTTCGTGGCTGAAGATGTGAATGAAGAACAAGATTACTATCCTCTGCCAGCAGGTCAGATGAAAACATTTCTTTATATATTTGGCTTTTCTTGATTTTTTTTTTCGTTATTTGAAATCTTTGCTCTTTTATTTTTCAGCTCCCAGATCCTCTCCCTCTCTTTAGCTTTCACTGTGTTTGATATCAAGAATATGAAATGTGAATTCCACGATCCAAGAGGGGAAGAGTCACCTTTCACAAACTTCGTTGTTCTCTTCTTTGGAAGGGAAATTAGTGTTCTAGGCGATTGAGTCCCTTCATTAATGAAACTTGAAACCCTGTTATGCATTGGCAAAAAACAAAAAGTAGAAACATGTTTTCTAAGTCATCTGTTGGAATGAGAGGGCTTGGGGCTGTATTCACAGAGCTGCTGGCAGTGCAAATAGCTTTGAATTATCCTTGGTTCTTCATCCTCTATGATCAAAGCTCTTTGTTGCCTTTGTGAATAGCAGTCCATTAAGAAGAGGTTCGTCCCTGTGAGAGCAGACTGCTGTCCTGGGACAGGACCAAGTGGAAGTGTCTTTGTAGGAGAATGGGTTTTAAAACCTGTGTTTTCTTTCTTGTAATTTAGGGATCATAGACGATATTTCTATGTAAACGAACAGTCGGGCGAGTCTCAGTGGGAGTTCCCAGATGGTGAGGAGGAAGAAGAAGAAGGCCAAGGACAAGACAGTAGAGACGAGACTCTTGCTAAACAGACCTTGAAAGACAAAATGGGCACTGATTCAAATTCCACAGAATCCTCTGAGAATTCCACAGGTGGGACCATTTATCCTGTACTAGTTGGATGCATATGATTTTAGGGGAAAAGAACTTCATTAATTCATATCATAAAAGAAAAACTTCTAATTGAAAAATAGTGGGGGCCGAGCACGGTGACTAAAGCCTGTAATCCCAGCACTTTGAGAGGCTGAGGTGAGGGGATTGCCCGAGCCCACGGGTTCGAGAACAGCCTGGGCAACTTGGTGAGACCTCATCTCTACAATTAAAAAAAAAAATTAGCCGGGCATGGTAGTGTGTTCCTATAGTTCTGACTACTTGGAAGGCTGAGGCAGAAGGCTCACTTGAGCCCAACAGGTTGACGCTGGGGTGACCGTGAGTGTGCCACTGCACTCTAGCCTGGGCTACAGAGTGAGACTCCAACTCAAAAAAAAAACATTAAAAAAGGTGAAAAGTAGTGGCTTGAGGCTGGATGCAGTGGCTTACACCTGTAATCCCTGCACTTTTGGAGGCAAAGGCAAGACTATTACTTGAACCCAGGAGTTTTGAGACCAGCCTGGGCAACACAGGGAGACGTTGTCTTTACAAAATAATTTTAAAAATTAGCTGGGCACCTGTGGGCCCAGCTGCTTGGGAGGCTGAGGTGGAAGTATCCCCTGAACCCAGGAGTTCGAGACTGTGGTAGCCGGGAGCACGCTATTGTGCTCCAGCCTGGGCAACAAACTCTAACTTATTCTGGCTGGAAATCAGCATACTTTTGATATTATATGTCAGAATCTGCTCAAAAATGAAAAGATAAGTCCCAACATTTTAGATTTTAATTTAATATTGTTGAGCTGGGCACAGTGGCTCATGCCTGTAATCCCAGCACTTTGGGAGACAGAGGCGAGAGGATTGTCTGAGGTTCAAGACCAGCCTGGGTAACTTGGCAAGACCTCGCTTCTACAATCAATCAAAAAATTAACTAGGCATAGTGGCACATGCCTGTAATTCCAGCTACTTGGAAGGCTGAGGTGGAAGGATCGTCAGAACCCAGCAGATTGAGGCTGTGGTGGCCGTGAGCGTGCCACTGTACTCCAGCCTGGGTGACAGAGTGAGATTTTTGACTCAGGAAAAAAAAATTTAATATTGTCTTTTTTTTTTTTTTTTTTGAGTTGG